TTGTTTTTTACTTTAAAATACAAAGAACTATTTACCCAATAGTTCTCATTGTGACATTGTAAAGACGTATGAGTTTTACGAAGTGTAAAGTGGAGTACTGTGATTTTCTTCTGGTGTACTCAAATGTCACATGAGTGTATCAGCATACGATCAATTTGTATTCACATTTAACTAACAGAGTACATTTTATCCCGCAATATGCATACAAATGTCTAGCAGGCAGTTTTGAAGTTTAAGTATTTTGTATATTTCGAAACCCCGGGAGAGTCTGTTAGATCGGAAATGTCAAGTATTCAAACTGCCTTCATGTTTTTGTTACATAATCGCATTACTGCGATAAACATGTTGTAATAAAAATGATGTGAAAAACACTTTTAGGCTAGTATTCTACTAAAACTTGTACCCGAGGCTGTTTCTTACCAGTTTCCAGTAGGACGTGTTCATCGGTCCATACATCAAGATGGCAACATGTCCTAAACTATAAACATTCCTGCAGACCTCCAGTTTCTAGTGGGACGTGTCCAGAGTCAGACTCAACAGAGTCAGACTTTCAGTGGGACGAGTCAGACTCAACGATAGGTTTAAATTTATTAGCAGCAGGCGCATATGTCATCAAAAATATATTATATATTCATTTCTTGTTGTGGGGGGGGGGGGGGGGGGGCTCGATCGCCTCTAACTGGTTTTTAGCGAAACGTGGATCATGGCTTCCTTTTCATTACTCTTTCAACGATGAAATACAAAATACAATTAGAAAAAGCCCCCTTTCCGCACTACACATTACACCATACATATAGTTAACACTACAACGCGTTATGCTTATAAAATATGTAGATTTTACAGATTGAAAAGTCCTTTTTTTCGAGGAGTCAAAAATAGATCATAACCAATACGGTAAGACAAATCTTACAAGCAACACATGATTTCAGTGCACTAGTTTAAAAACAAAACATTTGTGTTTGTAAAAAAGAGAATTTAACGTAAGAATAAGATACTGTGATTAAATTTCAAGCTTACGAAGATCTACCATTCATCATATGACATTTACCACAACTTTTGATTAGATGATCCATGATAAATATAACCAAAATACTGATCCTCAGCTATGCGCAAACATCCCTTGTACTTTTAGTTGGTTCAAAGGGTTCAATCTGAGTATCGTGTTTGTTCGAAACAGCGGTCATGGACTACAGAATTCATGACAATAGCCTATAAGTTCAGTGTACACATGTCGACAAAACAAACGTGTCATCAGGTCATGCAAAATATGTATATATTCAAATCGGGGAACCCCCTGCGAATTCCCTCGTCCTTGTGTGCCATCAAACAATATGTCGAAATACTGATGTCGAAATATGGTCGTTTTTTATTAAGAAGGTGCCGAAAAATATATAATACATATCTTTTCGTTGTTGTAGTTCAACTTTGTAATCAATTGTAAACTATACAACCACCGCCATGCCTTTAAAGGTCAGATGACATCCAAATATAAGGTGATTCCTGTTGATAATCAAGGCTGCATACCGCAACTCATATTTTGTTATTCAAAAATCTAAATATGTTTTACAGATTTTGTAATGATTTTTAATTTTTTTCTAAGACCTGCTAAGCTCAACCCTAAAAAAATGATCCAGATCTCATTCATCTTGTGACAGCATATGTCAGTCATTAGTGGACTAACAATAGATAGTGGTATGTAGCTTCACCAGAACTGACCACTTGTTTACAATAGACCATACAATACCAACATAGGAGTTGCTATGCCAGACGTGCTGTAGCATCACCAGGAAAAGTATGGTAATGTGGAGGTATTGCATGGAACAATGTAATTTCTTTGTGAGCATGTGCTGAGCTGGGGGAAGTTACATACCACTGTCTCTTGTTAGCTCACTAATGATTGACAGTTGATGTCACAAGTTGAATGACCTCTGGCGCATTTGTTTAGGATCTATGAAAAATCTATGAAATATATTTAGATATTTGAATAACATAATATGAGTTGTATGCAGCCTTTCACATCAACAGGAATCAACTTACATTTGGATGTCACCCCACCTTTAAACAGTAATTCTCGTAAATTTTGAGTGTTCAGAATATACAAGATAGCTGTGACTGTATCGGTGTTAAATAGTACTTCTGTAAATATTTATTTATCACGAGGGGTGTCCCCCCAGATGGAACAAAAATGTGATCGGCAATATTTTTAATGTAAGAGTATGTAAAAAAAGTTACATGATACTGTATTATTTTATTATATATATGTAAATACAAAACAAACAAGTTTTACATTCATATGTATAAACAAATTTAAAGAAATTTTTTTTTGGCCAAAGTATGGAACTAGGCTCGACTAGCACTTGTGCTAACTTCTAGTTCTCATTAACAACTTCACCTACATATAGTAATACACATATTTACGTATATGCCTTTTGTACATTTAATAGTATGAAGATGTAAGTCTAAATATCGTTTTAAAAACCACTACTGTTCAATCGACATTACTCTTATGTTTTGTATACATGTATCAGTATCATCTTTGCATTGTATGATTGTTCATATGTACTGTCATTATTGTGATGTATTGTTATTAATAAATTGAAATTCAATTAACATTCAAAAGCAATCCACAATCTTTCATGAAATTTCATAATGTTGAATAACTTTCAGTGTCTCTATGGAATTCAATGAGGTAACCCCTAGCGTGTACTATTGCTAATCCTTGTACACTCTGTCCTACGTTTGACAAATGCAATGTTTTATAGCCATAGACGAAACTTTAAAACGTGAAGTGAACGTGTACTTCACTTCTAAACTGAAGTTTAGATTATACTCAAACGACATTACCGAAAAGAAATATGATAAAACCCCTAGATTATTCTGGTTACTATGTATATTCTGTTTCAACAGACAATTTACAAGCTTAAAGCAATAGTGGAATACATGACATAAATCAGCTAAAGAAGGGACAGAATCAAAGACCGAGGAACGAGCAACTTATGACGTCATTAAAAATGGCCTCCGATCAACCAAAGGTCAACATATTCATGCTGGAGAAAGAAAACCAACAGCGTAGTTATGACGTCATAAATGGCCTTATGACCAAAATCTTATCGACGGTAGGGTCATCGCTTACAAATGCAGGTAAAACAAATTATTCGGTTTCATGTTTTATATTGTCATTTGAATTTTATTTCATGTTCCTCCTTTTTCACTACCTTCATTTACCACAGAGCGATCTGAGTGTATTCTCTTTTCACATGGTTTGTTCTTTTAATTTGTTTTAAACTTGTAGAAGATGATCTCATAAGTCTCACCCCCCCCCCACTCTGAGAACGGACGGACCCCATGCGTGTTACCAAAATGTCCTTTTCGTAATAAAAGAAAAAGGTCGACCCGTATTGACTTTACACACCGGACTTTTGCTGAAGGGGGGGGGGGGGGGTACTGAAAAAGGCTCGTATAACAAAAGAAAAAGGTCGACCCGTATTGACTTTACAAACCGGACTTTTGCTGAAAGGGGGGGGGAGGGTCGCTTGGAACACGCATATGCGTACCCTAAATAACACTGAGTGGGGGGGGGGCGGGGTCTCACCTTTATAACATTTCGGATTTTTAATCCAAGAAATTCTACTGAGAATTTTTTCATAAAAAAGGAACATCCAGTAATATCATGCGAGGAAAAAAATGTGGATTGCTACTTATTATGCTGTTGCCCATGAAGTTGGAATAATTGTTCTTCCCTTTTTTAATCAAATGGCTATGACAAAACGGTTTAATCTTGATACATAGAGTTTATATCTTTTAAGAACTAAAATGATAAATCTAGTTTATATACATGTAGATATTGATAAATAAAGTTCTGAGAAGATATAATCTCTATCTATCAAGGATAAATCATATGGTCACAATCATGTCATTAAAAGAGGTAAATCAATATATCAATCCAACGTTGCGGCTCCAACAGGGAAATAGTGTTTTCCTAAATTTTATTGTGGATTCCTAAGTAAAATTGTATGCTAAAAACGATTCCACCGACTGATTTTTTTTTTTTAAATTGGTGCCTAAAGGGCCAACATTTTATGTTTTGGGGCTCACCAGTGTTATTATGCACTTGAGAACAAAGGTTAAGGATGAATTGTTCGTTTAGGGTAGAATACCCACTTTGAACAATACATTATTAATATGGTACAGGTTAAGCCCCACCAAATACCACATGGACCCTGGAGCTTTTCGATTTAAACTATTTTCTGGGGTAATAAGATCAAATAAAATAAAATGTGTATTTATGATTTTATTTTGATTTTATTTCTGCATTTTTTCCAAAATTTCTATTTAGGTATCAACCTTCAATGATATATTGTTGGTATAAGGCTTTGATAACTTAATATGTTTCAGGTACCAGTAATCTAATTTCAAGGGCCAAAGTATTAATTAAACTAATATTCCGGGCACTAGAGGGGGCCCCAGAAACCCTAAGACTATTCATCGCAACCCAATAGGTAATGCGTGAAAAACGTTCATTTTACTGACTAAAACATTGAAACATATGCTACAGTATAATATAATAATAATATGTGTTGAACCTATCGATGATAGGTGTTAATAACAAAATTATACATCGCGGGCACCTACACCTTTTATCACAATGCTTAAGGTCAATTTTCTTGATTGAATCGTAAATATGGGCTGAACAAAGGGCTCATTGTCTTATTTTAATAATGTTGTGATTATTAACAATATTGTTTGTTATATTGATCATAAAGAAGTACGTATAAGCTACCTAATTTTAAATTTTAAAAGTATGAAAACTGTGAGATCTAGGACGCCCCTGGTGAATCATGTATTTGTGTAGCTCCAATCCCCCTACCAGTACATACTCTTTTCTTTTCGTGCACATTTAATTCGTAACCGTAACATTCACCAGTATCCACAATCATAATTTTATCAGCGATTTTAATTGAACTGTTACAACTTTTGATCCGTAATGGTTTAGGTATGATTCCCGAGATGGTCCACGCTATGATCGACAGTCTTAACATGGAACAGGTAAAAATCGAATCCTTGAAAACTACTCTCATCAGAAAGAGGATGAAAGTTCCCATCTTTGGTCCGTAAGTCTACATCTTCATTACATTCTTGAAACCTTAATATTTTGATAAATTGTAAGCAATTAAATTCCTTTTCTTTTATGTGTATTTGGCTATGGTTGCCACATACCTACACGGTATTTTTTTCTTCCCCATTTATTAATGTTATCTTTTCTGAAGATGCAGCTGAAGAAGTTGGTCTATCTTTGGCAACGTTGTGGGTACTAACTCAACTGTAAAGGTTTACTCCGTGTAATGATAAAGGAGTACCATTCCATTCTACAGGAGTACTTCCCTCTGTACATGTATAGTTATCCTGAACCTCATACTCAATAAATATGGCTAACAGTAATATGTACGATAAATTTAATAAACATATTTTGTCATATTTGTAGGGCCATTCAAAATGGGCGAACATCTGTGAAAGAGCAGATTCAAGTCGTGTGAATAACACATTTTGTGCAGACAAAAATTCTGAATAACACAATATTTAATTACTACAATGGTTTTGTAGATTTCTATTTTTAACAAGAAGCATAGTAGACAAAAGGTGCATAATTATTTGCATAATTACGTTAATACATACATTATTTTAATGTTTGGGCATCTATACTGTGTGCTTGAATTTATCATATTTTAGCAGGTGCTTCATCTGAACATTTTATCTTGACATTAGTCATATCAAGCAATAGGAACACTAAACGATATCGGGACAGGTTTGGCAAAGATGATTGGCACAATTGGACAGTAGTGCAGTGATTGCTACATACAGAGATATACAATATCACGGTCTTTGAAAAAAAATTGAATTACATTATATTCATTTTACAATATCCTTCAATATTCTTTCCTTCGTTTGTTCACGAATTTTGAATTCGGCATCTTAAAGGACAAGCGGTGGTAAAAGTATGGTTATCAACGCCATGGTAGGAAAGGAGTTGCTGCCCAGTAGTATGGGACATACCACCAATTGCTTCCTTCAGATCGAGGAGGCCCGCGATGATGACGCTGCATGTGATCCAAACGTCCCTCGTGAGGGGGCTCGGCTGCCAAGCTTTTCTGAGGTTGGGTCACACTTCATCATCAGGAGGAGTCAGTTCGCTACAGAGTCAACAACCAATGCTGCGATGTCTTACGAGGAGAATTCTATAATACCCCTTGACATTCCGGTAGGTAAACCGACTTACTCAGACGTCCTCATTACTATTCGTGCATTTTAGTTTTCCTCATCTCATTGTAGTATTTATGTCTTTTCTTTCTCTTTAAATTTGTTGTCGTACTACCCACTCTCTATCCTTACGCTGGCTCTTAATAGCTTTGTTCATAGTGAAAGCCTACGAGAGGTCCCGGGTTTGATCTCTGTTCAATGCATAGGTACTTGGACATTGTGTTTACCCACATATTATATACCTTTCGATCCAGGTGTACTAAAATAAGTACCTGGTAATACTGGGGTAGTGACATGTGCAGGACCCACAGGAAAGCGGTATCAATGCCAAAAGGACAAGCTGGCTAGTTAAGACCAAATAATGATGATGATGGTGATAATGATCATGATTAAAATAATAAAGATAATGATGATAATGATAACAATACAAATAATTATCATACAAATCATAATAGCAATAACAATAATAATGAATATATTAATAATCATGATAATCATGATTATTATTATTTGTATTTCTTTGATTATGTTTCACTTTGATTATATAATTATATCATGGTTTTATCATTAAATCTTCAGCTTCTACATGACTTATCGGACGCAAAAGCGGATCAACCCCTTGACATATGCCGCTACGTAGAGATTTTCTTGGCGAAGGACGACCACAAGTGTCCTTTGCTTACACACTTTCTTCAGATTCTCGATTGGTAAATGCTATCAACTATACCGGTTCCTAGTGGAATAGTGGAATAGTCAAATATTTTATTCAAAGCTTAACCTATGAGCATGAAAGTTACAGTTTTTCTAAAAATCTTTTAATTAATTTATTTATTTATTTAAAAATATCTATTCAGGATGACAATATCAGCCAAAGCTGTTTTTCATATTTGTCCTGTATATACATACATGGTAAAATACAAAGTAACAACGAAATACAAAATATTAATGAAATATGCAAAACCTATATTAGTGCAGCGGCTTAGCAAGAAAATTGTGCACTTTTTGATAAAAGCATGAAACTTCTAGCATAGTTTGCTTTCACCATAAGATTTATTTTCAGATGTGGAGGGAAGTCAGATTTGACCTCTGATGACCCTGAGAGGTCAAATCCAAAATGGCCGCCAGGCCGCATGGTCTAATGTACAAACATGCTTAACTTTTGAACCAAATAGTCCAGAGAAACGTTTAAGGTGTCATTTCCAACTAACTTGGGGATGCCAATTCATTTGGTAATACTTCTGAGATCGCCTGAACTCAGGGTTTTGCATTTAGATGAAGGTCAAGGTCTAAATTGACTAAAAATAGCATGTTTTGAAAGGTTACAAATGGTTATAAATCTCATTTATTTGTCATTTGTTCTCAAATTTCTTTAGGAATGGTTCCCCTGCATAGTCCTCCACCTTAATCCTTTTCAGGTAGTCTATTTCAGTTTGATTTGACCTCTGATGACCCTGAGAGGTCAAATCCAAAATGGCTGCCAGTCCGCAAGGGCTAATGTATAAACGCAGTAACTTTTGAACCAAATAATCCAGAAAAACATTTAAGGTGTCATTTCCAACTAAATTGGGGATGCCAGTTCATGTGGTAGTACATTTGAGATCACCAGAACTCAGGGTGTGGCATTTATGTCAAGGTCGAGGTCAAAATTGACTAAAAATAGCAAGTTTTGAATGGTTACAGAAGGTTAAATCCCCATTATTTGTCATTTGTTCTCCCTAGCTATGTTCTCAAATTTATTAAGGAATAGTTCCCCTGCAGAGTTCTCCACCTTAATCCTTTTCAGTTAGTTTATCTAACAGTTTGATATGTGACCTCTGATGACCCTAAGAGGTCAAATCCAAAATAGCCGCCAGTCCGCATGGTCTAATGTACAAACGTGGTAACTTTTGAACCAAAAAGTGTAGAAAAACGTTTGAGGTGTCATTTCCAACTAACTTGGGGATGCCAATTCATTACGTAATACATTGAGATCGCCAGAACTCAGGGATTTGCAATGAGGTCAAGTTAAAGGTCATATTAGGCCAAAAAAGTGCTGTTTTCTTTTTTAAAATAAACATTGCCTCTATTTTGACACTTAAGGTTTCATTATTTTAAAAATTAATAAAAAGACCCGTGTACCACCACTTTGACTATCCAGGGCCAAATTTCATAGAGCTGCTTATCGGCTGGTTCTGTGCTTACGTATTAGTTTCTACTTCAAAGCACTGCTAACCGTAAGCACACGAAAATGCATTAACCTTACGCTGCTTACTGGACGAAAATGAATTTTGTAACAATGCAATCCATTGTGAACGTACAAGGTGGACGCCTTGTTTTCTTGCTAACCAAAGTTGTCTGCTACAGTTATAGCACGAAAATTTGCTTACCGGTTAGCAGCTTTATGAAATTGGGCCCAGAAGACAAAAAAAGCTATTCCAAATACGACCTAAAACCTGTTCATAACCACAGCTATAGATATTTACATGAATTTAGCACTGTCCACAACTTATGCATATCCTAATGATGGTAACGATCAAAATCTAACAGTCTCCAGAACAAGATCACATTCCAGTGCATCTTTTCTTGCAGCGACAGTGGATTATTCATGCCACAACTTTTATGCTTCCGGGAGAGTGGTCCAAAGAGGCTGCCACCCAGTTGTTTCGTTTGTCCAGCCCAAGTCAGATGGCTCTGCATCTCTGGATTCTTGGCCAATATCTGGTTTCAACAGTTGGCCTGGTAGCAAGTGCGCTTGAGGTGCTGCTTGAGTGCTGCCTGGGATGGAGGAAAGTTCTCCAGGTTTCTAGACTTCTGTGCGAAGAGCTGTTTCCTGGCATCATTCACTATCATGCTCTCACTGGTTCGGTCGTATTAGCACCACAAATCGCTCTGGCAGTAACATTGATCCTTCACTGACCTCGATCGATCCTAGGCATGCACAGGAGTTCATTGAAGGAATCATTCACCTCTGGGAAAGACTTCTAAGTTTTTCCTGTGAATGTAGAAACAGTGTGACACCCGGTGAACGCATGAAAGATTGGAAGAGTCATACATTGTGTCAGACTCATGGTGGCAACTATCATGATTTTATGAAAAGCCTTGTACCGAAAGCTTGATCTGACACCAAAAGCGATCCCCAGCTAGCATCAGGAGCTGTCTTGCTGAATGAAGCCAGGGCCAGTTCAACCGCATCAGTACCAACAATACGTATGGATACCCTTTTACATCCATGGGACAAGGCCTACCAAGTGTGACTCAGCAGGAGAGCAGAGTACTCCACTTCCATCTGTTGCATATTATACAGTTCCTTGCCCTGTGGTAGAGGAAGGTAAACGGCTTCGCATGACATGAAATCAAACAATTCGGTTTTGTTCTCATTGAATCGAAGGAAGTCCTTCCAGCTTTCTGGCAGCAAAATGGAAGGAGCCACCCTTTTCCTGGTGCCCTTTCCCTTTTCCTGCCCTATTGAGGCTTTCAGGCTAGCAGGTAAGTATACACCATAGCCAAGGTCGATGTGGATGCTTTTCTCGAGTTGAGCAAAGATGTATGGGGCAAACACTTTTTCTCCATACTCTTGAAATGTTCTTGATGTTCCAGGGTTGAGCATTTAATTGAACCACAGCTTCACCATCAATAATTATTGCTTGGGCCACAGGTGCACTATTGTTTTCGAGCAGATTTGATTCCAGGCAGCGAAGTAGATCTGCTTTAACTCCAAACCGCATTTACCTCCAGTTAACAAAGCTGGCGGGACTGCCTGGTTTTCATGAGAGAAGAAATTGTCCATATCTCCATCCCTTGTCTGACACGAGATGTAAATCCTCAAAAAGAGACCACAGTCACTCTTAAGTGCTGCAAGCTGTGCCTTCTGTTTTAACATATATATAACCTTCGCCGGCTGCCGACTGAAAAATGGCAACTTGTTCGTATGAAGTGTTTGTGTGACAGCTAGGTGTCGTACACTGCTCTAGCCTTTCTGTCACAAACTTTGTGTACTGCTCACCTAGGGTCTCAATCCTTCTCCCCGTTTCAGCCAATTGGATGTCCATGATATGTCGCTTGTGCCAATGACTAGTATGTCTTGACTTTGTTCTAGAGATGGATTCCCCATCTCTTTCAGTACTGTCAGAAGTTCCCATCCCTCAAGAATGCTGCCTGCACTCCAGGTTGCTGGTCAAGGTGATGTTTGTATAGTGTTAGCAGAAACGTTAGTTTGCTTTATGGCATGTTCCTCAAACTCTGTAGCGATTATTTAAATTACTTAAACCAAATAAAACACAAAGTAACTTAAAGAACATCTTACCAGTATTATTGAGCAGTAACGGAAAGGAGCAGTTTCTCTGACTTGAATTGAGGTTTGTACCGTATACTGCCTAGCTGCCCACTGACAATGCTATATGCATATGGTCAGTTACAAGACAACTACTGGTTTGGTGCTATAATTAGTGAAATAAACTAACTGACAGGGATTACGATGGAGACTATGCAGGGGAACCACTCCTAAAGAAATGTGAGAACATAGGGGGACAAATAAATGGGAAAACTTTTTGTAGACATTCAAAACTTGCTATTTTTTTAGTCAATTTTGACCTTGACCTTGACTTCATGCAAAGCCCAGAGTTCTGGCGTACCCTAAAGTATTACTAAATGAATTGGCATCCCCAACTTAGTTGGAAATGACACCTTAAACGTTTTTCTGGACTATTTAGTTCAAGAGTTAAGCGTGTTTGGACAATTATTAGACTATGCGGCGGACTGGCAGCCATTTTTTATTTGACCTCTCAGGGTCATCAGAGGTCAAATCTGATTTCGCTCTACATCTGAAAATGAATCTCATGGTCTGCAGGGGAACCACTCTTAAAGAAATTTGAGAACATAGGAGCGAACAAATGACAAATAAATGGGATTTGTTTTGTTGTAAACATTGAAAACTTGCTATTTTTAGTCAATTTTGACCTTAACCTTGACCTAAATGCCAAACCCCGAAATCTGGCGATCTCAAAAGTATAACCAAATGCATTGGCATCCTCAATTTAGTTGGAAACGACACCTTAAATGTTTTTCTGGACTATTTTGTTCAAAAGTTAATTAGCGTGTTTGTACATTAGACCATGCGGACTGGCGGCCATTTTGAATTTGACCTCTCAGGGTCATCAGAGGTCAAATCTGACTTCCCTCCACATCTGAAAATGAATCTTATGGTCTAAACTAACTATGCTAGAAGTTTCATGCTTTTATCAAAAAGTGCACAATTCTCGTTATATGGGGAGCTAATCCGCTGTACTAATATATTACATGGATATCGAATGATATAACATTTTATAAAAAACAATTTCAACTCGGCTAACAATCTGGGTTTTGCTACTTTTACCTCTCGTAGTTTTGTAGTTGAAGGCAGGTATTATGAGAAATATTAATCAAATTTTAAATAACTATAATATATTGGAATTAGTGACATGCAGTGAAGTATTATCTATGAATAAATAATTAATGTTATCTCACATGTATTTCTCAAACAACGGTGTACATTAGATTTTATATCATAATTTGGGTCGTTATTCACAAGTCAGCACACATACACTACGTTAGACGTGCTCACTTAGAGAACTGACGAATTTGTTTTGGGAGTTTGTTTAAATCCAGAAGGGAGTTAACGCTATGCAAGAAAATGTGACTTAACGTCCTTATGGCGCTGAATAGACAATTAATATACGCACAAAATTGCTTTGAAATATTCGTATCGCATAAACATTAAATTATCATCTTGAATATCTAAACAGTCCCGGGATAAGCATGTGTCGCGAGATGGGAGATAAGGTAAAAGCTTTCTGTGAAGATGCTGACGTACATGTCTTGATAGTCAACACTATGTCTGGCATATCAGCCGAGGTAAGATGTTAATCAGAATCTGCTTTTGTGAAGAAATCACCTTTTGCAGCTGCAAGTTGTGATTTTTCACTATCACAAAAGGTAGCGATATGTCACTAATTATTTTGGTAAGGAAAACCAATCTTACTTGGAAATAGATTCTTTAATGGCAATGCTAACGCTAGATAATTGTAATACCAGTAACTCTTACATTACTATTATGTAATATGTTCATCTCCTAAAGTGGTTGAGTATTCGATAATTTAGTAATAACATTCACAACATTTCCATTTGATAATCATAATTATTATCCCCATCTCCTAGCACCACATCTTAGAGGCAAGTCGTGTTTATCCGCCTCTTGTCAGCAGTAAGAAGTCACTCTAATGTCCTGGCTGTTTTGACCTCTTCCTTCTCCCCACTCTACTTTCCTTTCTCTATCGACCAATACACATTAACGAGGATGGGGACTACCTCATTCTAGTACTTTGGTATCAAAATAAGAACATACTTTCTGAAGTTATGGGTATTGAAAGACCTTCTGCTAATCAAAAGCATTAGTGCGCGTCAGTCTTTAGCAGAATAGCTCAAAACGCTTTCGCCCTTCTCGAAGCCAAACGAAAGTGTCTTTAGATTTGTTTTCTTATCAACGGATTATGGTACTACATCGCTCAAAAATGTGGAAATTGTGCTCTGTGCTCTAGGTTTTAGTATATTCAATTATTACGCTTTTTAATTATCTTACAAACAGACAAAGGAACACTTCTTGAAAGTAAAAGAGCGTCTGCCAAACCCTGATATCATCATCGGCTTCACGGTGTGGGACATGGTAGACAATGAACGGCCAGAAAGAAAAGAAAAAGTACGTATGACATCAAAACAGTTTTTCTCTTTGATATTCGTAACGATTCTTCGGTCACAGTAGGGACGGGGGGGGGGGGCTGCGTGGTAAATGTACCAAAATGTTCTGGTACACCCTATGTTGTTAAAAATACGGACGGGCTGGGGAAAGTCCACGTTTAGCGAAGATTTGAAGTTGCATATGTACGTGCTTGTGTATGTGCGTAGTGAGAAAAGCTCTTTTTCCACTGTTGATCTGCACAAAATTGAAAAGCACAAAACAAGTATTTTAAAACTTGAAGTTCACACTCATATGCACTTTCTTCACGTGTAAAATGCATTATAATGATAAAACCAAAACAAAAATTAAAGTGCAGAAATTATTGGAGCTAGCTTCCCCGGTGATAAACTTATAATCAAGAAATAAATTTCAGTCAAATCTAGTACCATATTACACAATTTCTAAATATATTATTTAAATAGTTTCTCAATGGTGGAGAATAGCGGAAAACAATGGAGAAACTGAGTAGCTGTAAAATCACTCGTCACTGACTAAGACAATACTGTACATGCTTTAAAAGTGCATTCAGGCATCCTTATCAATTCATAAATTCCTCTGCAAGTCTTCCACTGAAATCCTTGGCATGGAATACCGGAACAAGATATGACCAAGCTGCAGAGAATCAAAAACTCTGCAGCACGTCTAGTTTCTCTTACCAAAAAAACATGACCATATTACACCAACCCTTAAACAATTGTATTGGCTCCCCATTAGATTTCGTGTCCAGTTCAATTTCTAATTTAACTTTCAAGTCTATACATGGTCAATGGTCATGCCCCAAATTATCTTATTGAAATGATTCAGTTATACACGCCCAATAGGCTCCTATGTTCTGCAAATCAAACTCTCTTGACCGTTAACAAAGCAAAACAAAATATTTTGGTGATAGGTCCTTTTCATGCTCTGCTCCACGTTTATGAAATTCTCTTCCAGCCTCCATTCGTTGCATCTCCGATCAAAATGAAAAAAAAAATCTAATGGAAAAGGTATATTCAACCTAGTTCTTAAATTGTTACCTTACCTTGTTATCTTATGTTTGATAATTTCACTCTTGTTCTCTTGTCATTTTCTCTGTTCGTTTTACTTCCATCAATATTGTAAAGCGCTTTGATATATATATATATATTTTTTATAAAAGCGCTACTAAGTACAAGTTATTAATTATTATTATTTAACTTCAAATCCGTAACGATCTTGCTTTGAAATATTCGTCCTCTGTTATTATGCTTTTGAAGTTAGCTCATGATACTCATGATACTCAGTACGTTTATATTAAAATAAATGCTACATTTAGATAGGAGAACAACACATAATTGGCAACTAATCGGCATCGATTATCTTGCAGGTGAAGCGGGGACACCTCACAGATGCCTTTGGGCTTCTAAAATCGACTGGTACAGTCTCTACAATGGAAGAAGCAAAGGAGAGGTGTTTCTTTATATCTGGAAGAGAGGCACTCAGTGATGCCCTTGGAGAACAAAGTATATATTCCATGTCACTTTTATAAAAATCGAAGTATCACGTATGAAAAGGAAGAGGCCCTGCAAGCGAAATTTTGGTTAGAAAATAATGTCACCTATCAGTAAGGATGCTACTTTCATGAATGTTGCTGTTGAAAGGTTACTCTTTTATTATGAACGCAAAATTCACACTCACAAAGGGTAATAACATATCAAAAACCTTGAAATAGATAACGTACTCATAAGCCATCATGATAACCACTCCACAAGTATGTCTGACCATAAATTGTATATTTTATGTTCAATATTGTTCATATATGATTACTCTTTTTCTGCCTTCTGCTTTTTAACCCGGTTTGTATCAGTAAAAAGTTAAGACATTCGGGTTCGGCGGCGTTTGCACGATGATTTAACTATCTTTGCCATCTTCATGTGGAACCTTCCACAGTTATACTTGCAATAATTACGTGATTTATAAGTAATAATCGTTAGCAATAAGGAATGATGATCGTAAACAATATCATCGTAAAGAATCACCAAACTTCTGCTAGTGGCTGTTTTAAGGTTCATTTATTCGAATACACTATACTATGTTGTTTATTAATCTCTAACAGCGAAGAACGTGGAAGAGCCGCGAAAGGAGAGGCGGCAATCATTTCAAGACTTCTTGAAAAAGATAGAGGTAAGACTAAGAGTAATCATTTTGTCAATTAAGGCTTATTTCCATGTAGAGACCATACATGGGTCATGAGTTATATGATGAAAATAACATTTATATTATACCACTGTCGTGGCCGTTGTTCCATCTATTTATATATGATTGTTAGTAACCACTTGATTGACATCGTTAAGTCTTCTTCGAGGGGATTTGTTAAAAGAGGAGTAAATGCCTTACCAAAGGGCACTAGCGCATCTACTTGCTTTCGAACCCGGGTCCTCCTAGTTCACTGCTCTACCTCTTAACCATCGCTCCTCAAGACCTCAATGATAATGGTAGAAATCGTGTTTAATGTCAGAAAACTTAAACATTTTCTGTGTTTGTTATTCTTTTTCTATTTTTATTCTTATTATCCCAGGAGCGAGCAACTATCGCTGGGAAGAAAGACAAACTAGACAGTAACCGTCTAGTATGCCAGGATATCTTGACTTCGTGCATGACAATTATTGATACCTTGAGGTCGTCGATCGAACACAAAATGTGGGTGTTTGTAGAGGCCTGCTAATCGTGGCATTCCACTATGTTTCAACTTTAAACGATCATTTTTAAAGAGAAATTCAACCTGAACACAAAATTGCTGTTTTAAAAAAAAAAGGCAAAAAAAAAAAAAATCAGAGAATTGTCAAATTTGTGAATCCGACGAAAATTAAAATAAACTTATTGAAAAGGATGGAATCAGATATATCCAATATCACGTGTCAAAATATCTGAGCTCTGAATAGTCCCTAGGAGACCACGTTTCGTAGCTAGCTTGTCAATAATTTAGTGAATTAATCATATGAAATAAACCCCATCTGTAAAGATATACGGTCGTCACAACTGATACAATAACAGAGAGATACATGTACATTATGTAAATCTTTATATTGCAATCTTACTAATTCCTGAGGTGAAACAAGTTGAAGAGGGGGTGTGAGATAGTGAAAACATGCGTATACCTGACAGAGAGAGAGAGAGGGGGGGGGGGGGACAGAGGGAGACATTTTGCAGAAATTGTTGGACTGTTACACCTCAGTTGTGAAAGAATATTATATTTCACTGAGATAGTTGTTTTTCTTTTATAGGAATGAACTGAAACTGGAGTTAAACACGCTTAAGCAAAACACTAGCCTACTCCTCGAACAGACCAAAAAGTACATGATAGAAAGCAAAACGCAGAGAGAAAAGGCTCTCATCAGCGTTGATGAAGAGGTAAATATATATATATATGGTCTAGAATTAGATCAATACCTTAATCAAGCCGATGGACCGACATCAGACCGACAACACACCGTATAGAGATTAAAGGTATTACAAAGTTTTGGTATTGGATCATGAATTTGGTTCAAATGAACATATTGGAAGCATATGCGATCCTACAATATTCAGTGATCGTTGTCGAGGTTGAAATCGAGTCAACTGTTATGAATTGTAAATAATAAACTCTTTATGTTGTATAACTCCCTCTCAAGGTCAAGATTTTAATTAAGCTATAAAACAATGTTTCTTGACTAAAATCGACCGATCAGCTATTACCGTTCGGAAATTATATGTCACAACTACATATTCTGAGATGTTTATGGCCGCAGCTAACATTATACGGCCGTAGGCGCTATTTGAAATTTATCAAAATTTACCGGGAGCACCGGTAAATTTTTATTTTCAATTTTTCTCGAAAGCAGAAGTGTTTTAGGGGCAAAATTTTCTAGCGCTTATAATACATCCACAGGGGCATCCAAATATATCAAAATTGTAAAGAATTACTATCCACCCAATTTCAAAATTTCCCAAAACTTTGTATAACCTTTAAGGTTTAATACGGCAAATGATCAAGCGTCGGTCGGTTTGTCGGCGTGAGTGAGATATGAAAATTCATGTTTTCTTTACAAATGCTTCATTATTTTTAAGACTTACCTGTGACGAGGGAGAGAAAGAGGGGAAGAAAGAGAGAATGAGAGAGAGAGAAAAAAAAGAAAGGGAGGGGGGGGGCGATGTTTCTCAAAATTCCAAACAATAGACCAGTTCACGATTACCACATTATTGCAATGACCCAGAATATCCACAGATCTTCAAAACACGAAGAGGTCCACTTTGTACATTTTGAAATAATTACTCCTACAGCGATAGAGGTGTTATATAAATAGCCTTTGTTTTCCTTTTCAAAGAATACTTCCACATGTGTATCACGGAGTGCATGAATGAATAATGATTACATAACTTTCATGAGCACGTATCCAATATTTTGTCTCCGTGTTTTTCACAATTTGGTCTGCAATTACCTTTATCTGCTCATGCTCAGACTGCAACCGTGAACTGGCTTGATGACCTTCCGTTTCTTCTGTTCTTATTTGCCTCCTTTCCTTTTACCTTTACCGTGAATATTAAATTGGCTCGATTTTATCATTTGTTTCCTAATTTCTTGCTACCAGATAATGGAATGCATGGATGACGTCATTAGACGGATGGAGACAAAACTAGCCAACGAGAGGAATGAAAGGGCGCTAGACGCGTTTTTCCATGAACATGGAGCGGTGAGATTTCCAAGCATGTCTTTTTATTGGGGGGGGGGGGGGTGGGGGAGGGGTAGGATGCCAGATCTCCTTCCGAGTATTTGTAAAAACTGGTCCAACTCATCAATATCAAAGCATACATGTCATTTTCAATTTTCTTTGTTTATACGTTTGTAATTCTTTGGGGGAAAAAGTAGAAAAGATTTGGACGTTAGGGACAAAGAATTAACAACAAAACTCAATGCCTTCAGTCAATTGATATGTATGAAGTGTACATCAAGTGGATGTTTAAATGCTTATTAATCAAGTCATCTGTTGGTTAATATTTTATCTCAACATCTCTCCCTTTATGCAGGCCATCGTTCATGACTGGTACAGAAAGATCACCAAGGCAACTAACCGTACCACCCGAATGGCATGCGAAGACTATTCCCACGACCTCCTTCGTAAGAAGCTTTAGCATTCGATTTCTAAGCACATTAAAAACAACCGAAGACTCAAAGTAATTCGTAACCAATATCTTAAACTAACATAATTGTTTCTGAATGTGGCCAACACCAGTGCCATTGGTAAAAAGAGTTCTGCCAACAGCTTGTGAAAGATTTGTAGTAGAGATGAGTTATATATTTATAGCAGTAGCCCTTTGATGTCTTTTCATTGATCATTTCGCAAATCAAATAATAGGTGAGTACAAGAAATGCTTCCAGGAGTTTCCTCATGAGCACCCGAAGGCCTTCATCCAAGCTCTACATGAAGAGATCCTTCCACAGGTCACAGTCAGCACGGAGATGGAGGGAAGCGCTGTCGAATCCTTACTAAAAGGGGTCACCGATAAAGGGCTTGTTGCAGTGTTCGCGACGTCGAGGAAACGCGTTGCCACCGGTAGGAAATGTCTTTCAAGTACACCATGAAGGGGAAGTCAGGAGCACATCCAAGATTTTGTTTAAAAAAACATTCCTAGAATTTATTTTTAAAAAGCAGGAAAAAACAAGTGGGTGTGATGGAGGTCATCATGTTTTTCTAGGTGCAGTTTTACTTATAGTCATGGCCTCAAAAGAGGTGAAAAGATGCCACTAAGGTTGTCAAAATCCGTTGGACAAACAAAAACAAATAAAAACTGAAACAAAATTTAACTAAAAACAAGCAACACAAATATGGATTCTTTCCATTGTGGCAATGCGCCCAAGTTTGCTCTTTACTCCTTCGTGTTTGCATGTGTATATGTGTGTGGGCACTGGTGCGTGTGTTTACGGACCAAAGCCTATAATATTATTTACTATTTCATTTGTATGATGGATGGCAGTTGATAATACAATCTGCAGGGAAAACAACTAGTTAGCAAGTTAAAGGTAAAGACAAGTTCTGGTCATGCGATTGCATTGTGAAAAAAACGTTGTGGAATCGATCAGAAAAGGTTGATCACCTAGCGTATAAGTATTGGTGTCTACTGCAAGGTTCTGGAATCATCAAAATGATAAGAAATTTGGCCCAGTCTTGGTAACGTTACAGGCACTGTACACATAAAGATGTATATGGGACTACGCGACACGTGTACGTCATCTACCCGGTCCGGATAGATATAATAATTTACCAAATATATCAATTAGTAGGCGGTTTCCCGGCAAAATTCGAATCATCACGTATTAGTCAAAACATTTTCTTTCATATGATTGGTGATAAGAGCTTCCAATTCATTTTTTGAGAGGGAGGGGGGGGGGGGAGCGTTTCAAAAACTGGTCTATATCTTTAACGACATTTTCACTTCATATCATAGTTGGCGCTCAGGACCCAAATAATCGTGCGGAAAGACAGCGAATGGCAGCAGGAGCCAGCGTTATGTTTCTTCAAGTACGACGATGGCTATGGGGGGCAATTGAGGACAAACTTCTGAGGAAATTTGAGACTGAGAGTAAACATGGTCTCAGTGAAATCAAGAATTCATGCAGACAATCTGTGGAAGCGTAAGTTGGGAGTCCTACGTATCAAATAGATTAATCTTTTGCACAAATAAATACTTTAAACCATTCTATAATCACCACAGCAAAGCATATTTAATCAATTGGACCTTCTGTCGTGACTGTTTATCATAAATTTCTATTTTCTAAAGTTCCAAGACTCGCGGGTTCCTGAGAATCTGGAAAAACAACAATGAAGTATTCTTTTGAATATCGTACGCCCGAGACTTTCATCTGGACATACATTTTCTTGGGACAGTCAAACGAACGCAATGCGTGTTTTTAAAGGAGGGATATTAATGCGGAAACTGTACAACAGCGTAAATTCAAAAAATCTTTGTTGATTTTCAAGAGGACAAGCACTTATCTTCTGTAATCATTTTGATTGAATTGTGACAGCTCAGAAGTATGTTTCGTGATATCTAAAATTCATTCGGTGTCGTGAGAATCGTGGATCTTGTGGAGACTACAAACGACAAAATATTGTATTAAACATAACATCAATTAATGACATTTTCGCAGTCACAAATCCTTGAAATATTCTCACCGACAGATTCTGCGACGTCACAGATGCTTACTACCAAAACCAGATCGAGAACGCCCTCAGGATGCAGTACCGGTCAGAGTGGATAGACCGAAAAACTAAGCTCGACCAACTCTTCCAGCTGAGTGATCGCCTCAATGTTTACAGGTAGTTGACAAGTGCAATATCCTATTTTATTATCATCTTACCTGCCAAACAGTCCTACTTTAAAACAAAGGTAGATGCAGATGTGGATGTCATAGGCGAGAATAGCTTTTCAGCCGTGTCAGATCTCCGGATAAAAACATGAATATACAGATAACGAAATTTTCGAGGGGAATATACAAATTTCATAAAGATCTAAGTTGATATTATCTTTAAGTTGGACTTAAAAATTATGGAGGGCCATTAGCATCTATGAAAATATTAAGAAAAAGTTATTTTAAAAGGCATAACATGTTGATTCAAATAATTCATATATTCTATTATCAAGGAGATTTTATGTTCTTGATCAGGAATTTATAAAAAGATTAAAACACTTGAATATTTGCCTTTGAATATATTTTATTTTAAGGCTACAAATGGCTCTCCATGAATTTTAAGTCCAACTTAGAGTTAAATTCGACTTAGGATCTTTATGAAACACCCCTGGTGTTTTTCAACATCAAAATATGATTGATTCATTTTTTATTTCACTACATCCTCTCTTCTTTGCTATTTTCGGGAAAGAATGAAAATATTTACCCCAATTCTTTTTTTGAAAAGAATCTGAAAAATGAGACTACATGTAAAGATACACAACATAGTCAAAGAGCTGATGCGGTCGGATTTTCTCGCCTGTGACCAATGGGATAATCTTAATTACTTGTTTAGCCAAGTTCCAAAAAGTAGATGCAAATGCAGGCTTGCCTTGTGCCCATTGCACTCGAGACGTCATTCCTATCGCGTTAATACCTGCCCTCAGAAATCTCCTGAAATTTTGAAGACGGTTCATGATTCTGATGTTTTATAATTGCGAAACACAAATTTCCCTTGGCAAAGGGTTTATATTAATGACCAAACAGTTGATGCAGTAATCTCAAGGTTTAATTATCCGAAGGTTCATAATGAAATGTTCAAGTGAAATAGGGACCATTATTCTAAAAATGAAATAAAGTTCATTATGCCGAAGGCTCAAAATTCCTCAAAATGATACAGGGTTCAATGTCATTTTCGGAAGTAAGATCTAACTTTCGGAATTTATCCAACTCCTATTTCATTTTCGGAGTAATGTATCCTATTTTACCTTTGGAATTATGAACCTTTGGATAATCAAACCTTGATATTACTGCATCAAGCCCCATTTTATTTCGGCAACATACATTCGCAATGATGAACCTAAACGCAACTTCCAATTTTAAAACCTTTTGAAAAAATGAGTTTTCGGAATTATGGACCTTCGGCAAAACGACCTACAGTGAATGCAATCAGTTGATATGCAAATTAAAGATAAACTTGAGTTCTGGGTAAAAAAAACAAAAAAACTTAATGTTCAAGACTACAAATAAATTTCATTTGCCAAACAATTTTTGTAAAAAATGTATACTGGCTGAGTAATGAGCATAGAAATATAAGGAAATCAAGATAAGCTAGCCCCGACACCATTTGTGTAGTCCCATATACATCTTTCTGTGAACAGTGCTTGTTACTTTACCAATACTGGGCCACATTTATTATGATGTTGATGACTCAAGAACCTTGCAGTACACACCAATACTAACATGCTACATGATCAACTTTTCTGATCCATTTCACACCTTTTCTTTCACAATGCAATTGCATGACCAGAACTCAACTTTATCTTTAAGTCATTAGCCCTTACTAATGACCGGTCATTGTTAAATTACGTGTTAGGCAAAACAAATTACTGGTCACGAGTACGCTCTCAACCTACCATTTGATTAGGATCCTTTTCATCATCTTAGTAAATACCCATAACAATAGCCGCGATTTCTTTTTGGCGGCCGTTTTCTGCTTCAATCATATCTGAATGAGCCTTAAAGGGGAATAATTCTCAACCAACATGTTCATTTTAGTTTGTAGGCCATGTAAAACATTATCTGAAAATATAAAGCACCGTACATTTGACAAGAGGAAGGAGGCAGCTCTTCTTTAGAGTCCTTCGTCTTTCGCGGCTCTGATAATTTTCAGAGCGTCGCCATTGTGTTTGCGCATGGCCGGTTCTGTGACGTATCGCGTGGAGTCGACCGCTATATCATGTCAACTCGGCAATCTGCCTCTGTAAAATGATCACTGCAGATCACATTTTTTTTTCCTGTCCTACTTGTACTTTTTGCCAAGAAATTTCTGCACCTTTAAAGCTGATACCCATAACTTGACTATTTCATTGCGATTATGTGGGTCTGGAAACAGATGAAACGATTTCCCCTTGGTTTTCGAGGAACAATTATTTCAATCAAACATTTGGCAGTACACCAACTTGACCTGAATTGTATATAACGCGCGCTTATAGGCATATCGCCACGCTAAATCAGTTCTCCGTGTGATACGTCACAACCCGGAGGTTTTAAAGGGATATTTCGACAAAATGGCAGCTTCCTTGGGCAGCAGACGATGTCACAAATATTGCAAAGTCGGGTCTCCCTATTGTACTTGCAAGACGTTATTATTTGGCCTACATCAATGCTTTATCAAATGGAACGTTGTTTTACTCTCTATGTCATGATAATGCTTCATAGTCGAGAGATGAATTATCATCTAAACTATCAACGATCATTCCAGAGCCTCAGGGTCGAAACACCTTGTGTATACAGGCGTACAAGGTATCGTTATACGACGTTTGGCTATAATGATGTTATTTGCTGTTGACATAGGATAATTTTTAATAATGTTTGTTGATGGTATAGACATGATAGATATACAAATTACTTATAATGTATGTCATAGCGTAATATCCCTAGTCTATACGAGGAATGAATACATCACTCCAATTATGGATGCCGAAACCCCGCAAATCTACAATGGGTGAGTTAACTATTTTAATTATTCATTTCTCTTTAGACACAAGGCTAAGGAACTCAAACAGCAACAAGGAGCTCTCCAACCTAACTACCTAGACGTAATTGAGTAGACGTGGACACAAATTAATATCATCTGGAATTTTAGTATGATAATGTCTTCCATGCAAAACCGTGTTTGGCTATGGTTTACAGGTTGTATGATCGAAGGGCTCGATGTTACTGAGCAATAATCGTATGTATTCATGCTCACAAGTACCCGTCGTGTGCAGGTTCGTCATCTTGACGTAGGGAATGTATCATCGAGTAGTCTTTGATGCGTCATTTGAGAGTGACGCTACATTGCTACTATTTAGCAAAATGCCTTATTTCATAAAAAGAGCCATGCATTTCTTTGAAACTAATTACGAACCCTGAAGGAATTATACCACCTTATAAATCTAAATATCCAATTGTTCCTCTCTTTCAAATCACCATTATCAATAAAGCTTGTGGCCAATAAAATTAGTCTCAACGCTAATACACCCGAGCTGCAAGTGTTATCCTATCTCTTTGTAAGAAACATTAAGTATATAATATACAGCGCATCGTTATAGACAAAAACATTATATCATAATGGTTAGTTGATGCAACTATCCGTTAAATCTATCCAATACGCGGAATAAAGTAAGAGTCAATTCCTATCTATCTATCTAATATACGAAATAAAGGAAAAGTGTTAATATCTTTAAATTATATCTTACGCTAGTGAATAACACCTAGTTTTTAAGCTAAATGTCTATACAGTATGTTTTTTGCTATAATATGTGTCTTTTTGATCATCATTTCTTGCAACGATATTATATATATATGCGATATTTGCTTCTTTTCGCATTTCCTGTTCATTGTGCTCAAGAAAAATACATGCAATTATTATCAATATTATAATATTCAAGATCATTATATTATTCAAGGCTTTAGATATTGAATATGCAAGATGTGTAAAACATTTGCTATCGTGATTTTTTTCTCATTTTGTTAGAACTTACAATCTTTTTCCTGTCTTGTTTCAAGATATCGAGGTATCCCAAAAGGAGCCCCTGTCCGCATCCGAGAGACAGATTATATAGGTTTCTTGCAAATTAAAAAAAAACACACACAAAGAAACAAAATAAACAAATAAGAGTGGAGCTTGATTAAAACTGATAGCATTCGATTACTTTGCACGATACTACTATGTTTATGAGCTTTCAAGACTCTCTGTGGCTATTTTATTTTCCCCCTTAGAATATTATAATCAAGTTTATCGTGGGTTAATAATTGTCTTAATGTCGCTAGAGATATTAAAGATAAAGGTGAGTTCAGGTTTAAAAAAAAGAAGAAAATGAATTCTCATAGAATCAATAAAAAAAAAAAACTGAATGTTTAAGATTACAAATAAATATCATCTGCCAAACAATTTCGGTATAAAATGTAAAATGGCTGAGTAATGAGCATAGAAAGATTAGGCAATCAAGGTTGGTAGCCCCGACACCATTTGTGTAGTCCCATATACATCTTTCTGTGTACATTGCTTGTTACTTTACCAAGACTGGGCCACATTTATTATGAATTTGATGACTCCAGAACTTTGCACTACACACCAATACTTACATGCTACAAGATCAACTTTTTCTGATCCATTCCACACATTTTCTTTCACATTGCAATCGGATGAACAGAACTCACGTTTATCTTTAAGATATAAATGCTTTACAATGGTAACAAATCCACAGATGTGACGTGGATTCAAAACAATTTGCTTGTAAAGTCTATATTTACTTCCTGCTTTGTTCTGTTTGGCTGCTGTCATGAAATTGCCTTCATAAATATTATTGAATATAGCTGTCATCAACCAGAGCCTCATGTAAGGTTATCACTATTGTTGAAAATGTGTTACCCTCAATAAAAATCAGAAATGGATGGATGAATGAATGAATGAATATATAATAAATGAATATACATGCATATAACCAGGGTAATATATGTAAAGCGCCATGAGCGTCAGGGATTATAATCTAGGTACAGTTGAAAATGTGACTTTTTCTGCATATGGTAAAGTATACTACCGTGTAAAATTGGTGTATCGGGTGCCATGTTTTATTGAAGTTATAAAATGCTATTGTTGTTAATATATCAGAACCCTGTTCCATAAAGCTTATTATCAATAACAAGTTACAATAACTCGTTAAGCTACGGTAATCGTGCAGTTTGAGTTGCTGAGAGCAAAATTGTCAAAGAAATTCAATAATGTTGTTATCAATAAACGAGTTTTATGAAAAAGACAAATTGTCCAAGGCAAAGCCAATTTCATTTAACAGTTAGGTAGACAGACCTTTATTATCAGAGAATGGTGTTCACCTTTTAAATGCAATTCTTAAATCAATTTTGATGCTGAAAACGACTGATTTTGTGTCATAAAACGGCCCAAAGTGCCCCAATTTTATGATTTAGGGACCAACATTATTTTTATGCATTGAGAACAAATATATATATAATTTGCTGAATTTTGTTCGATTAGTGAATAAAACCGACTATGAACAATACATGTTCAGACACACATAAGACCATCAGGGGCCCTGTAGTTGATCCAAAGATCACAAATGGACCAGGAAGTCCAGACAGTCAAGAGAACTTCTTTAAACTACTGGGATATTAAAAAAATAAGTTTTAACGATAAATTGAACCCATTGACGACAGTCATTATAATAATAATACCCTGCGAGCATCTACACCTTCTCTTACAGGTCCATTTTCTTGATTAATTCGTAAATCGGAGACACTATGGGCTCGTTGTCTTGCTTGACTAATGTCGTGCTGATTAAGGAGGTGGAATGTTTTTATTGATCTCTTTATAAAGAAGTACGTATAAACTACCTAAATACAGAAGAAATTCTAAAGGCTAACACATCTCTCTTAAAGATGAGGTACGAGTCGTCAGATTCGATTAAAAACAAGGAAGAAGAGGAATAATTAAGAGAAGATATGTTTAGATTTGTTAAATTTGTGTTACAACATTTCGTAGAAAAATCATTGTAAACATAGGAACAGTTATGGTAATTAATGCAGATGTTAACACATTAAATGTAAATTGTCAATGTGAAGAGACCAACACAAAGAATAATGCATGATTCTCCGGGAATGATTTCGGGAGCCTTCACAACGTTCGACTGTATCTGAAAGTAAGTAGCCGGTCCCCCTGCATCTCCAAAGGGGGAAGATGGAATCCGGTCACAGTACTTTCCTACCCACTAAAGGAACTGATGATAAGCAAAAGTACATGTAAACTATTTAGTTTAATATCTATGCATATATATATATATATATATACACGGTTGGTCATAAAGGTGGTTTTTTTTTTTTACCCCAGTATATTAAATGATTTAGAAAATATATGAATTCACAATGCTAGATAATGATTGATTTGAACACTTCATCTGACGATAATAGATCGGAAGCCCTTGTGCGGATAAACCCATGCCTCTCGTGTTTTCCATTTAGCTTTGTGAATTGATATTTTTCCACTTTATCTGATGAGAATAAATGGAAAGCGCTCGTGAAGTTCAATCCATGCCTCTCGTGTATTTTATCTAGCGTTGTGAATTGATATATTTACACTTCATCTGATCAGAATGAATCGAAAGCGCTTTTGCAATTGTTAAAGCTTTAAAGCGTTGTGAATTGATATTTGTCTACTACATATAAATATATTTGTGTGTGTAATAAATATAATACACGTACTTTCAATAGCAAGCACTTTTATTTTTTTTTCAAGTGGTACAATGCAGGTTTAGGTACGAAAAAAGTCTCGTCGCGTACCCTCAAGCGTGTGAGTATTCGTGATCTACGGCCCTGTCGAAAAAAAAGCGAAGTGTCAACCCTTCACTTCATGGATTAAATAGATTTTTTCTAAGAAGGCACTCAAAAAGTGGTAACGTCATTACGTGTGTGAACGTTATAAGCCATTTAAATTCATGGCATGCATTTGGTGGGTACTTGTGGCTTTGTAATCCTATACACATTTTTTTATTAAAGATATCATTTCGAGGATAAAATTGTTAAAACTATTTTGTTCCGTCTGTCGTCAGTCTGGTATCGGTTTACTTTGTGTGACGGGGCCATAACTGAGTGTGCCAGCATTGGCTATCTCCAATCATCGTGACCATTCACGCACATTCCTCACAAAGTTAGCTGACCACATAAACGCTTTCTGGCTTTCCCGAAATATAATGCCGACGTCGGATACGTGTTGCCATAAGTCTCTCGGGTTTTCCAGAAGAAGCCATGGCCTCTGAGATGGCTGGACTGATGACGGCATCTGTAAAAATATGTTTAGTCAGCCTTGTGTTCCTTCAGATACTTCAAGGTAAGGCTTTTCATTTTCTTCAATCTTTTATAGAGGTCCCAGCAGTTGTTTGTTGAGTCTTTTTTTTTCTTCTTCATCTTCTCTTTTAAAGCTTCACCGATGTTAAACATACAAACAGTATTCAAAATAAAAACAAAAGAAAAAAACATTTTAACTTTATCTTAGAGTTACACTCCACTCATTGTGGATGGACTTCACTATAGCCATTACATTACTTTTATTTCACGAACAGTAAACTTTAAAGTTTTTAGGAATTAGGAAATTTACGTGCTAATAATGGTACTTACATTCCCTCCTAAATGACTTTATTTTGAGGTGAGACCCTCCCCTTCAGATTTAGGGCCTGAAGAGACCAATCACTGCAAAATGTAGAAGGGGCATTTTGAAACTGAAACAAATATAACTGATGCTTTTAATAGTATTTAATATTTGTAATGTTTGTAGTATTACGGGATGATTCTTTTTCACATTTAGTAAATGTATTTTTGCAAGGATTAGAACTTTAATGATCTAAAATGTGCATATGCATGAGTGCTATTGCATTTTTGTTCCTGAAACTATAATATTACCTCCAATCTTTATTTTTATGTAAGTGCAGGAGAGGAAGAAAAAGGCGTGGGAGGAGGCAGCCATCACCATGGCGGCCATAGGTTGCCCCAACCGCTCGGGCAAGGACCTGAGGTTGTTGTGGAACGACCTCAGGTCAAAGGCCAACAAATATAGAGACAGCCGAAATAAGACGGGTGAGTCTTTTTGCTTAAAAACAAAATTACGATGTGAAATAAAATCTGTGCCACTTTACAATTATTTTGTTGTTGTCTGCCTTTGAGTTGTGCATTGAAATTTATCACACAGCTCAAACAGAATTTTTTTAAAGGCCAAGTAAATGTGTGCTTTTTATCAAGCAATCTTTTCTTTGCTCAGGGTAAGATGTCTATCTTGACAACAACGCAACTCTGCAAATCTTTCATGTCATATACATATCACACTAAAATTGCCATCATCACTGTGATGCCTACTGTAATCTAATTAAAGGTCAGTGTTATTGTTTTGGTTTAAATTAAATACATATGTAAGAATGTATTGACAGTCATTGAATGATTCTCAATATTTTTCTTATTTAATT